AAGACATTCTGAAAAAAGAAGCTTCCAGAAGTTGACAAAACATCACCTCAGATATTTCAACAAGGAAATGCAAGGCTATAAACCCTTACTTGTCTGTACCAATGAGTTTGGAAGACAGAGACCTGGCTGGCTGACTAAAAGAGATTGGTATTTGTGCCATTCCAAAGAAAAGTGATAAAAAGTAATCAAAATTACTAAGCAATATAAACATCACATACAAGTAAAATTATTGAAGTGTATGTTAATAAGGAACAGCTCAAAATTAAAGCCAGATTCAGAAAAGAACATGGACTAGGGGGTATTAATACAGATGGATCTTGGCTGAAGCCAGAAAGAGGTTTACCTGTGTTTCACTGACTACGCAAGGGCATTCAACTGTGTAGATTATGGATAATGCCTTAAAACAAGCAGCCATCCAAGTTAGGTACCAACTAAGTTCTCATGAAGAAGCACACCAGCTTGTGTGCTCCCAAGGTAGCAATGGTATCAGAGTTTAAACTGTGAACACTTAGTTTGCAGTAGACTATGGATGACAGTGGAAGTCCAAAATTCATTTGTAGGTTCCCTGTATGAATTACACTCTGACCATAGTGGAGAAGAATATAAATAACTTTGCTATCAGACATACAGAACTGTAAAGTTAATTATGGCAGATGAGTTAGGTTAAAGTGCAATACCTTGTTATTTGATCTCCCTCTTGACCCATTTTCAAGTTGTTTCAAACTACATGGACAGCCCCTACCCCCATCTCCCCACAGAATAATTCACTTCATAGAACAGCACTGAAGCTACAGGTCAGGGAGAGGGACATGTCTGATCAGAGCACACAGGAGCAAATGAAGGGGGGAGGATGAAAAAAATTGGAGCACATCCTGGCCCACCAAACCCAGAGGATGATATTCCTGCTCAGAGCAGCCAATCACAGAGAGGCCCATATGGCCAGCCCCACTACAAGATCTGAAATCCCTCACTGACCCATAGCCCTACAGGGACAACACACGTTGTGGGAATTGCGCCAGTTCTGACCCGACCACACCAAGGCAAAACACTAAGGGTGTGCAACAGAACAAGGGGAACAGAGCAACAAAGTCCCGAGGGAATACCAAAAATAAGACTTTGGGGTCAGGGCGTGGCACCCGTCAGACTCACTAGAAAACATTCCTAAAGGTCAACAAACAGACCTTACACTATTTATAGGCTTTTCTTTTGTTGTTGGTTTTTTGTTATTGTTTTGTTTTATATTGTTGCTTTGTTGTGCTCTGTCTTTTTTGTGCATATTATCATCTCTGCACATCTATCTAGATAAGACAGACGGGATAAACAATCTGGAGGAGAAAACAATGGACTGACATTTCTAGGGGGACAAGGAAGAGGGGGAGCCAGGGGAAAGGAAGTGGGTGTTAACAAACCCAGGGACAAGGGAACAACAGGAATATGACAGGTTTGCATGTGTTTCCTACATATGTTTAATCTGTATGCTGAGCAAATAATCCAAGAAGCTGAGCTATATGAAGAAGGGGCATCAGGACTGGAGGAAGCTCATTAACCTGTAATATGCAGATGATACAACCTTGCTTGCTGAAAAAGACTTGAAGCATATACTGGTGAAAATCAAGGCTGGATTATGCCTCAACATACAGAAAACAAGAATACAACTAGACCAATAGGCAATATCATGATAAATGGAGACTAAACTTAAGTTGTCAATCATTTCATTTTTCTTAGTTTCACAATCAACATTCATAAAAGGAGCAGTCAAGAAGTCAAATAATATATTTCACTGGGAACATCTGTGCAAAGCCCTCA